TAATATAATTTAATAATATAAAGACTGAGGGGTCTTTATATTCTTCTACTGTAAAGATTCGATTTACATGTATTAAAATCAGTTTACTCCATTTTGGTATCTGGGAACTTCTAATATTCTTTTCTATACCATGAAAAATATTATAGTCAATAGGTGTAACTATACATGGTTGATATTTTTAGCAAGGACAGATGCTACACTGGAAACGATCACCCATGGTGATTGTTGAACAGTTTGGGTTCTTATGGTAATTTAGGATATCAGCCTTTGTCATAAATCCATTTATGATATCTTTTTCTTCACATTCATGGTTCAGATGTTTTTCAGCAACTATAGAAGAAAAAAATCTTCCAGCTGGAAAGCAGGAATTCATCTGTATATTGGTCTGTGTCCTAAAATGTAGTTTTACCCTTAATAATTAAACTGCACAAATCCAATTAAATTCTTGTTTCGAGATAACAAGTTTTGAAAGGTTTTTTCCCCAAAAAAAGGCCTTCTAATGCCTTTTTTCATTAGACAAAACTTTCTGTAGCTTGATGCAATCATACAGGTATTTTTAAGTTTCTATGTTGTTTTTTTTTAAATGACCAAGTTTATTTCATGTATACTTTAAAAAAAGTATGATCAGATCGATAGCTCATTGCGATTGTAGACTAACTTTGTGTTTCAGCCCAGCACCATCCTGGTTATCCCCTTTTCTTGTAGTACTACTTCCATTTACGTAAAATATTTTTTGAGCAACAATATAAATATGAAACAAGGTTAAAAGTAAATTGGAGAGAATATTTAAGAAGGCTGTGAATCTAGATTTCACACCTGGAGTCAAACCATTTCAGTACTCCAAATGTACAGTTTACTGACTGGACTCAATACTTGTAATCATTAAAAATCTGTTTTCTGAGTACAATTTGCTTACATCAATGTGAAATTACATTAATTCTCTGCATTCATAACTCCTGGACAAATACGCAATATTATATTTGTCAGTTATTTCTTGATGGGCAAAAGGATTTTATTTCAGAATGAGTTAATGTTGAAGAATGTTGAATTTAGAGTAAGTGCTGAAAAGTGTATTGTTCGTTGAATTGTACAAGACTCGGTAATTGTTTTATTATTTTATCTTCCACATTTAAAGCAAGTTATGCACTTTTTCCATAGCTTTCTGTAAAAGGTTATAATGACAAGCAACACATCTTGCTCAAGAAGATCATTGAGAAAATGGCTACTTTTGAGATTGATGAAAAACGATTTGAAATTATCAAGGAAGCGGTAAGCTACATGAGAAATTTACATTTTGGAATAATTTAAAATGAAATGCATTGACTTGAAATGAAACCTCTGGGCTGATTATCCATGGAAATACAGAGTGAAATTCTGCCTCATTGGGACTACAGAAGCTTTCTTCCTTTGTCTTTTTTTGTGGCCCTGAGTTCCCCAGAGTGTTTGTATTACGTTCTTTGGTGAAAAATAACTGGACCTGACATCTCCTTTCAGTGGTTCTTTCTTATGATTGACCAAGGGATTGCAACTTGCTTTGATAGGAGTAGAAATCTAAGAAGGGAGGGGGGACACTTAACTTTATATCCTGTTTTACAGTTTGGAAAGGCCCCAAAGGGATCTAGCCATAAAAGAAGGGGAAAATAGATGAAGGGGGAAAGGAAGTGTTGAAAAGATTTGCAACATTTCTTCTTCTCAGATGTGAAGAGCAGCTCTGCTCCTGGGCAAAGATCCTTTGGTGCAGAAGTAACCAGCTGGTTAAGTACATGCTGACTTCTGGAAGTCTCTCTTCCTAAATTTAATGACTGACATATATATGTAATTTCAGTTAGATTTTTTTTTTTAAAGCCCCTGAAGTAAATTTATGAAGAGTGATTACATTTGCTAAACCAAACAAGATCCGTAATTGTTCTTCTAGTGCTATCTTTAGAGCAGGACGGAGGTAAAACAAAGGAAACGAACAAATTGGATATTGGCACTCATAGCAATGAGTTGTTCTGGAGGTATAAATGAGTGCACAGGGATTAGACTGGTATTGGGGAACAGGCTGACTTTGGCCCAGAAAGTTGGCAGTAGATGAGAGCACTAGGGCTGCAGGGAAGATCACTCCATGCTTGCCAAAGTCTTACTTTAATCCTCTGCTGCTGGTCATTTTTGAACCAGTGACTGGCTGAGACAGGCACCAGGGCCTTCTTTAGTTCATTACTATTTAGTAGGAAATTCTAAGGAAGTGGACATCAAACGTGAGGTAGATCTATTATAACAGCACTTCATTTAGGGCTCTGTGTACGTAAGATATATTAATTGTTTAGAAAGTTTTAACTGGATGTGACAAATACCAAGGTAAAAAAAGCTCAACCCACACAGGTCTGTGAATGATCTGGTTTGGATGATTTTCTTTAAGTTGTTTCACAGACTGTCATTACAGTTCGCTTGAACTTTGTATTATGTATGTTTTCTCACTTCATAGATTTTTCTTATATAGGCCTTTTGTGTGTGTAAAATAAGGACAAAATACAAAAAAGTCAAATCAGATGGGGAGATTGCAGTTTTTCCCCTCATATCTACACCTGACAGACAAGGGAGATAGCAGCTTCTGGCTTCTGTTTGGGACAGATAGAAGGATGCATCCTCAGCCACTTCATGCTCACTGTTTCTCACTTAAGTGCTCTGAAATGAGTTACTTTTCTCCTGTACTGGAAATGGTCCCAGCTTGCTAAAACTGTTAGTTTGCACTTTCAAGTTCCTCTGGTAGAGGAAAAAGGTTTTGTTTATTTTATAAAGGTGCAGCTGGACTAGAAAGGAGTTTCTTTAGAGCAGCTCACTGATTCTTCTCTCGTACCTCCTTTATCCAGGCAAAGAATGCAAATAATTTCCCAGATGCTCCTGTATTTTTCTAACCAAGTCAGCCTAGGGAAGCAACTGGGAGAAAAATACATTTTCTATTAGCAATACTCCCCCACCTCTGGGCAGCCATCATAGAATGTGTATTTCCTGGGTGGAGAAACTTGACCTAAATAAGTATTTAGATCTGACTGCAATAATTTAATTTCCAGTCACTAATTTTATGGAAAAGTTTGATTTCATGGTCATTTCAACTATCTTAGGTGGTTACTGGTTAATCCGTAGGCTTAGAAGCCCACATTGTTATTAAGGCATTTTAACAAAATTTTTAACAGGTCTAACAAGCAAGAGAATGTTCTTGACATTTGAAATGTATCTTTTTGATGGTACACAAAGTTGAGAGTAAAAGGTTAATATTTTATCTTTAGAAACAGAGTTCTATAATTTGAACTTAATTGTTTTATTTTAGTACATGAGATCGCTTAACAACTTCAGGGCTGAACAGCCTCACCAGCATGCAATGTATTATCTCCGACTCCTGATGACAGAAGTTGCTTGGACCAAAGATGAACTAAAAGAAGCTCTAGATGGTAATGTTCTGCCAGTTTTAAACTTGATTATTTTTATTTTTTGGTATGGAAAATGTCTTACTACACTAAGGAAGGTCTGCCCATTGTTCAAGTGAGGCCCCTGCAGTGCCAAAGCTGAGGTGATGCTGGTGGGTGTCGATGCCTCTGCATTTGTCCTTCAGTTTCTAGAAAGTATAGTACTTCAGATAAAAGGTTTCAAATGACAAAACTTGCTGGTAAAATTTCAGACAAAACTTGAATGGCTTTGTGGACGTGAGCCTGGGTATGGTGTATCCTGTGCTTAAGCACCACTGCTAAAATCATTTGGCTCTAGTTGACATCTTACGTTCCAATGTGTCTGCATCTGCATTGTACTTCCCAATGTGCATACTAGTTTGTTTTTTCCGTTATCAGGGAATACTAACTTGTATTTCTGTAGATAATAAAGAACTGTAGATAATAAGGAAAAAAGTTACAATTTCTGTAGATAGTAACAATAATAAAGAATAAAGAACATGGTGGTTCTTAACAAAGAGCAGACACCCCACTATATTTGGAGGAAGAAGAAAATTCAAATTAAGAGAGAGATTTAGTTGATTTAGTAATAGCTGAAGAACTCTTCCCTACCTGTATCTTACTGTGTTACAACATAAGGCTGTTACTGGGACAGTTTGCAAAAGATCTTATATCTTTTTGGAATACATCGAGACATTATTTTCAAGAAGAATATCTGGCTTTTGTATTTATTTGAGGGGGTGGATTCAGAATACATATCCATAATTTTCAAAGACTGATACATACCATACTGTTTGAAGTTGCGATGCTGAAAACTGCATCATTAAGATAGACTCTATAGATGCCGTGAGCCAGCTGCACAGGGTTGTGTGTTTTTTCTACAGGATTGCTCCAGGATATAAATATTTACTTGTATAGTTTCTTGAATGATTGCAGGTATCTCTCAGATTAGCAGTGGTGCCAGTGCTGCCTGTGAAGTCAGTGACAAAACTAATGCTGATTTTCATGGCAGTGTATTCAGCTATATATAGGTCATTCCTTTTTTAATGGCTACTGAATTTTGAAAAAACAAGAGATTTTCCATTCCATATGTATGTTGTCTTTATAAGGTTAATGCTACTGTATTTGGCATAAGAATGGCTAAAAATGGAATGCCGGAAGGGAATGCTGTCTACTTAGCACTGCTGGAATTGTGCTTGAAATGCAGGGAGTTTGTGTGATTTTTTTTTTTTTTTTTTTAGTCTTTTTTTCCTCTCACACTCAGTGTGACCATTGTCTTTTGAACTATTAATATGCAATTCTAGAGGCAAAAAATTAAGGTTAGGATTATACAACAATAAAAAGTTGACTTGGAATTGAGGGAAAATGTGGAAATGAATTTTTTACTGGTGGTCAGTTACCCCTTTTAAGAGAGGGAAAGACTGATAAGCACAGTATGGGTTTTTCTAGTACAAATCACAAATGCGTTAGATATATTTGCATCCCTTACTGAACAACTGAGCGACCTTATAATCTTGATTGCATTTGTTCTTTCAAAGCTTTTGTGAAATACACAAGTATTGTTAGTTTTTATTTTAGTTGAGAAAATGACAAAGTGAGAAATTAATAAATTTGGTGCTTTAGTGTGGGTATTCTTGTCAGGGAATTAAGAATGGAGATGCTGACTTTGGGATGAACACCCCATCCATTCAACCATCCTACCTCTCTTATTCCATTGATTCTATATGTTAAACTATACTTTGCATTATTTATGAAAAATGTTTTGCAAAGACAGACTGACATAGAATGTGTGTGTATGTGTACTCTGGGATGTATGGCAAAAATACTTTTCTTGTGTATTGTTTGTTACAAACTACTATCAAAACACCATATTTGAGTTGAGGTTCTTTTTCTAGTCTAGATGGTAAACACACAGAGTGCATATGCTGCTTGTTTAGTTAATAACTAAGGCTTTATCTTGGAATGCCACCTGAATGATTGCAACTGTTTTCTCTGGAGAGTGAATGTTTGTTCAGCATGATTGGAAAGAAGGCTTCCCCCCTCCCCCCTTTTTTGGAATCTGGGTCAGATAGTATGTGAATTCTATGCGAAACAAACTATATGATGAGTGCTGCTATTTAGACCTGGAAACTCTAATGTTGCATTTTTAAGGAGAGATACACTTTTTCATGATGATGAGTTTCTCTTCCTCTAAGAAAGGCACCATATGTAATGAGGACTTAGGTGGTACTTAATGTAAAAATGCATGTAATTTATTTAACTGTCTAAATATCTATTCTAGATGTCACTCTTCCCCGTCTCAAGGCCTTTATAGCTCAGCTGTTGTCACGGTTACACATTGAGGCTCTTCTCCATGGCAATATAACAAAACAGGTTGGTGTGATACTTTCTTTAAGTAAACAACTTTTATTTAAAAGCAGCATAAAAATGGAAGACTAGTTTAATCTTCTCAGATCTTAAAACAGTTTTGCCAAATGTGATTTCATAATTTGATTTTGTACTTTTTTTTAATCTTTATGGGAGTATCATAGTGTCTTTTTTTTCCACTTTACATTTATTAGGCTAAGTGCTGCATTTGCTGCTCTTGGAAATTTAATAAAAAACTGCTTGTGATCTAATATTTTAAAATCTATGTTGCGTGCCGTTACTATGATGTGATCAAGCTGCGTAAGGAATGATGTGCTGCAGATCCTGCTTTTCCATTTAAAAGTTTTGGACTAACTAGCAAAGATTTAAGAATCCAAGATCCTTCCAAATGAAGTACTTTTTTCAAAGCTGAACAGGAATGGTGGGCCATAAAAAAAATAAGTGTCAGCTCTCAGTTGTGTCTTTTGAGGAGTAAAAACCAGAAAACGTTTGTTCTGTCTTCCATTAAAATAGTGACAGTTTGTATTTGCTTATGAAATCTAACCATATATTTGAATATATGTACCAATACAAAAGTAGTACCTATTTGTACATTTTTGCATTCTTTTTTTGTAGGGCTGATATCGCAGTATTTCTATGTTATACCAGCTCTGTGATATTTTACTAGCAGGGGATGTTATAAACACTGCTAGTGACTACTGAATGTACGGAGAAGAAAGTTAACTAGTAAGAAGGGAAAAAATAAAATGATGTGAATGAGCCAATAGCACTGGATACACAAAGTTTTCTTTTTCATGGATGTCTCTCTAAATTATTTTTTTTAATTTTATAGATTAGTTTTCATGTGGAGAAATGTAAAAAGTAGTCTTTTTCCTTATTTCTTACACATTTATATGTGAAAGTCAGTTCCTTCTGAAATATAACTGAATGACCAGATGTTTTAGCTTTCCATGGTGATGCAGTCCTAGCAGAGAAATGCATTCTTTAGTTCTTTTAATGGGTGGCTATTAAAGAGTCCTACAGCTAGAGAACTGGGAAGGATGTACTGTTACACCCATAGCTGTATAATGTTTAGAAATGATCTGCAAACCTCCCTGAATAGATAGATACAGGTAGGAAAACTTCTCTGTCCTTCAGTGCCTGTGATGCAATCATTGCTGACAAAACTCAGCAATTTTAAGCTGAATCTAAGAATGTTTTCCAACTAAAACTAAATCAAAATTTACGTACTTTTGTGACAACTTGCAATACTGAAAAATTTTTTAGTGAATCTGTACTTTTTGAAAAATTAGACCTATCTAGCTGCTTAAAATTCCCATTCCTTCTTGAATTAATTTCATTCCGATATTTGTTATTTGACTGTTCCTTTTATTTGCTGCAAGTGGGTGAAGAGCAGACTAATCCTGTTTAGAACATCTGTCTGAACAGTCTTGTAAATATTTTGTTTTAATATGGTGACTTTGGAAGAATACCTCAATCTTTTTGTCTTTGATATTGGGTGGGGTTTTGAGGTATGTTGAGGGGAGAGATGTTTATTAAATTTTCAGACCTTTTGCAAGTTCTTTTATAAGATCACTTGTATTGTCAGTTTATGGCAGCACAGACTGAGATTTTGGCTTTCAGCCAAAACTACTTTGTAGCAAGTTACTGTAATTTCCAGTGTTCAGGCTACAAGAGCACATAACCCTTCACAGGTAAAGCTTTTGAAGTTAAATCCTCAAATGAAACATTTTTTCACTATTTATGATTTTTAAAAATTATTATTATTTTAATCCATCAAATAAAGTATCTGGGCAGTGAGTCCTAATACTACCAGAACGTCATGGAATGTGTGTTTGAACTGAACCATTAATTTGTTTTCTAAAAATTCCATCTGCTGAGATGTCATTTGTTTTGCAAACATACATTGTAGGTATCTCACTTTCAAACTTTGAAAGATGAGTACATCAAAGTGGGGGGGAGATGGGGGAAAGACAAGGGGGGGGGGGGGGGGGGAAGGCCCATCGAATTTTAATTTCAGAAGCGTTGGGGAGTAGTAGTTAAACATGTAGACAAGATAAATGTAAAAAACCCTCACAAAAGCTTTGCCCACCAAGCCCCCATTTCCTCTCATCTCCTTAACTTCTACCTTATTTTTATTAAATACTACTTTCTATTCCTGATTTTTTTTTTTCCTTGTCTCTCATATCGCTAGCAATAATTGGAAAGTCTTACCCTGCAGTTAGGTACAGAATAACTAGTGATCATTAAAAATCCTCTAATGTTTTCTCTTCCAGGCTGCATTAGGAATTATGCAGATGGTAGAGGACACTCTCATTGAGCACGCTCATACAAAGCCGCTTCTTCCCAGTCAGCTAGTGAGATACAGAGAAGTGCAACTTCCTGATAGTAAGTTAAATGATTTATTTACTAATTTTAATCCACATTAAATTGAGATTCTCTGTTTGCTAATGGCACTTTAAAATGTGTATTATCCTGTTGCTAGGAGTTTGTTTCAAAATCAGACTTACTTCAAATTATTTTAAATTTTTAAATTAAAAAGTATAATTAGTGTGTGGTTTTGTTAATAAAATTATGCACTAATTATCTTCTTTCTGGTATACTTGAAAATTAATTTGATTTCATGTGTAATCTGTGTATGTAAATTGGACTTCTTGGGGGTTGGAACTAGATGATCTTTAGGTCCCTTCCAACCCAAACCATTCTATGATTCTGTGATACAGTCCTAATGCACTTCATATGATTTATGGAACTATGAGCCCTCTCCCACTCTCTGGTACACATAGTATACTCATTTGAATGAGCACTTTTGAGTATTGACCGTTCAGTGAAGGACTGTCCTAAACGACTCTTGCTTTTTGAGAAAACTAAAAGTTCTTACACAAGTAACTTCATTTTTTTTCTAATATAAATTCTTTTGATCTCGTAGTGTTTGTATATGATTTTACTTCTATTGTGCAAAAAAAGTCTTATGTATGAGAAAGGAGTTTCAAGGAATTGCTGGGAGTTATTACAGGAGTGATGGCATATGTAGCTGTACAGCCAAAGCCGATTACCCATAGCTGATCATCAGCCTGTGGCAACTACCATATACCAAAGAAGCTATTGGTATTAAATGCTGAATTATTTTTAATGTTCATAAGCGTTTCTGACAAGTTGTCTTTTGAAACTATTTACACAGTAGAGGCAATGCAGAATTCCACTCCAGTTCCAAAAACATTTACTTGAGGAGAAGCAACCGGTTTCAATTTACTTGCTGATATGCTCCAGCTATGACATTTCAATGTGTTAAAATAATCTTTTCTTTACTTGTTGCGTGAAAACTATGCTGTTAGTGGAAATTCTGCTTTGACAGTCCTAAACCATTTATTATAATTCCATCCCACAAGTGATAGACCATTATTTTTTTTAATTGTGGACAATAAGAACGTACATTTTTATGAACCTAAATATTTTAACTTTGTCTTTTTAGGAGGTTGGTTTGTATATCAACAGAGAAATGAAGTTCATAACAATTGTGGCATTGAAATATATTACCAGACAGACATGCAGAGCACTTCTGAGAATATGTTTTTGGAGCTTTTTTGTCAAATTATCTCAGAACCATGCTTCAATACGCTGCGCACCAAGGAACAATTAGGTAAGTTTTCCTGTAGTGATTATGTATCTGTATACACGCATGCACGCATACTCACACACTTATATGCGACACAATGAGGTGTTCTTTCCCTGCTTAGTGAATGGCATTTAAAGGGCACTTGGTAAATGTAAATCATTTTAACTGCTGATGACTCAAAGGAATGTTACTGTGCACAGACTCTAAATTGAGAAGAAGCAAGCATAATTTTTAAGATAAGTCTGAAATACCTCAAACCAACTCTGGCTTAAAAAGAAATTTCATCACTGTACAGAAAATTTTGTATCTAGAATTTTTACCAAAAGGAGATTAGATCAGTTTCCTAGATTTTAGATCTTCTTAAAGTAGTAGTTTGGTCTTTTCTGCTTGTGATCTTACATCCAGGTGCACTTGATGATTCATAAGCCATATCTTAGGAATGGTGCTCTATGGGTAATGGTAAGCTGCCATATTGGTGAAAACCTAAATACATTTCAGGCTTTTTAAGAATACAGCTGTTCACCAATAAATACAAATATATAATCGTTACCTGAATCAGTATGACTGAGAACTGGTAAGGTTATTCCAAACAGGGTAACAAGGAGAGACAGAGACTTTGCATGACAGTTTGCATGATTGAAATCCTGGTGAGGAGGAGTACAGTTTTTCGAAAGGTGAGAGGCAGGTAAATATCTCGGTGTGAGTATGAATTACCAGCGATATCGGGCAGGATTAGACTTTTTTTGAGCAACTAGCAGAATCAGTCATACCATACTCATCATAAGGATTTTGACTATCTAGATATTGGCTGAAAAACAGGGCAGGACCGAAGTTATTTAGCAGGCGTTTGGAATGTGCTGGTGGCAGGTTTTGTAGAGAAGTTAGAAGTAACAGCTAAAGAAGAGAGGGGGGGAACCAGTGAGGAAGAGCTGTGTGAGTCTGTCCAGCACTGTGTAACTGCCAAATGATAGACTTCATAAGACTTAGGATGGAAGACAGTAGAAATACAAGTAATATTCAGTTATCTTCATGGAATTGTTAATAAGATCCCTGAGAAAGCTAAGGGGAAAAGTAGTTAATGAGTTAGTTTGCTAAACAGTAGAAGTAGTAACAAGAACTCATTCAATAAATGCTTTAGCAGTATGAGAAAGAGGAAAAGTTGTCAGTGGTGGGCAAAAAAAAGTCATAATGTTTTAGGATGGCTTTGCTAGTTTTCACTTAAAATGTCAACTGTGACTGGATAATTTCCAAAATAAATACCAGTGATCAAAGTCCAAGGCTTACCTTTGAACAAGAAAATAACAGATTAAAGGTTGTTCAGTTAAATTAGAAGCTTTTAAAGAGTTCAGGCATGATGAGCTCTACATTACATTAAATAAATACAATTATGAAATCTTGGAATTAAAAGTCTTATAACTGAGAATTTGTGGATGATAGATGAAGTAATGGAAAAATAAACATGGGTGAATGCTGTATTGTTTCCTTAATAAAGGAAAGAGAAGAGCAGGGAAATGACAGATCAGTCAGCGTAATTCTAATTCCTGGAAAATATGAAGTAAGTTATCAAACCAGTTCTGAATTCATAGAAGTTAGCTGGGGAGACTATTACTGGACAAACTCAGGTCAAACTAACCTAACTTACTTTTATGCAAACAGAATTTAGCCATGTGGATGGAAGTGGTGATGTCGTATGTCACTTCTTTATAGTTTGAAAGGCGTATAATATTCTCAAACAAGCTAGAGAGAGCACCTAAGTGGAAGTGCTACACATTTGCATGCAAGACTGGAAAGTCATGACTGGAGAATAGATAAGAATAGTTCATTGGAAAAATGGTGTTCTACAGAACTTTATTGTGATCCAATGCTATTTAGTATTTTCATCAAAACTCTGGGTGAAGATAACTTACTAACTCTTCAGATAATACTAAGCTGGGAGAGGCTGCGAGTGTGTGGGAAGATAGAATTAGAATTCAAAATCAGTTTGACATTTTGGAAACATGACTTTAAGATGCAATTTGGTAGGAACAGTTTGGCAGAAGTAATCAATGGCTCAGATAAAAGCTAGGAAGCAGCTGCGTAGGTAGCAGTTATGTAGAAAACAATCTAGAGGTTACAGTGGATCAGAAGTCAAACCTAAATCAGCAGTGTCATGCTGCTGTGTAAAACACTGGGATATATAAATGGGAGCTTCCAAGCTGCACACACAATAATACTCCTATATTGTTCAGTAAGGACTTTGAAATACTGTATCCAGTTTTGACATGAGCATCAAGGAACTATTAGAGAGCTATAAACATTGAAAAGATTGAAATATGACAGATTTGTTATTAAAAGAGGGGAGGAAGACTGAAGAAAGGCGTAGCTGTTTGGATAAGCAACAGCTGCAACAAAAAGAAGGGAATAATATTTTCTTTGTATCTAATTGATAAGATGAGAAATAGTGGTCTTACATTGCAGCAAAGAGAATTCAGATTAGATATTATGAAAAAATACTAATAATTTCCTAATGTTGAGTCTAATGAAGCACTATTGTACAGCTTATTTTCTGGTTACCTAATCCTGATGACAGAATTCCTTTTGTTCTGTCTTGGTCTGCCTCATCTCCTCCTCATCCCTCACCTGAACTGATATTTACCTCAGTGAAATAAAGATGTGTTTAAAAAACCACAGTGGAGTATTTTTAAAACCTGCATTATTTCATTTATAATGCAGAATGAAACTTAGCATAAAATTTCATTCCTGTCAAACATGCCAGGTTTGGCAAACTTAATGCTGGAACAAGGGATTTCTTTTAATTAGTGACTATTCTTGTTTTGCCAAGGTTACATTGTGTTCAGTGGTCCACGTCGGGCAAATGGCATACAAGGACTGCGATTTATTATCCAATCTGAAAAGCCACCACACTATTTAGAAAGCAGAGTTGAAGCATTTTTAAAAACTATGGAGAAATGTATAGAAGACATGACAGAAGAGGCCTTCCAAAAACACATCCAAGCTTTAGCAATTCGTCGTCTAGACAAACCAAAGAAGCTGTCTGCAGAATGTGCTAAATACTGGGGCGAAATCATTTCCCAGCAGTATAACTTTGACAGAGGTAAGACAAATTATAATTTCTTTAAAGCTGAATGTTGTAGTTTGGCTACACTTGTGACTGTTGAGTATCGTATTCATTTGGGAACAACTTAAACTTTTACGTAGCCTGTGCATAATTGACTATGTTTGTTGTGATTTGTGTCCTGTAAATTGTATTTCTTCCTTCTGCCCTGAGAAAATGCCTCATCTGTGGAGGCTCTGCTCTTACTGCTGTGGGAGCTGCTAGTAATAGAGGATAACGTGTTCCCTGATGTTCACCATATGATGGGGGTTAGCAAATGCTTCATTGACCTTGCGTTCTTTCCCTTAAGGCTCAGTGAGACACAGAGTAGGTCAAGGATTGGAAATGGTTTGAATGCAAATGCTGATGTCGCATAAACTCAAATTTCTGTCATGTTCAGATGTCTGTATTACATATGTGCCTAATACTTGACTGAGATGCGTTGAAATTCACTTTGACATTCCTGACGGTGCTGAACCCTATTCCTCTTCCCATTGTGCAGTTCTTTTCAGGGAGCAATGGCAGAGGCAACAGCAGGTATCTTAAGTAACGTAAGATGTGTCTCAGCTTGGAGCAGGCTTGAAGAAACATTGATTTCTTTGTTGTTTTTTTCATCCATGATACTTTGAAGATTATAAGCTTGTAGAAGACCAATTGAGATCCAACTTCTAGTGTTATTATTGAAAACGGACTGACAGTTATTTACATTGTGATCCTATGTAGCATTTAAGTCGTACTTTTTCCTTTCATCATTGTTTGAAGATTTTTAATCTAAAATACTGAGGTATATTAGTAATATAGTTTCTAACATTAAAAAAAAAATTAGTTTTAGGTACAGATCAGCTTTTCCTCACATGTTCGTGTCTCGACATTCACAGCTATGATTTTCCATCTTCTGTGCATAATATGCATCCTACGTAAAACTCTCTCTGTATGCTGTGACTTCTCTCCTGCTTTATGTGCACAGTATTGGCCTTCTACAATAACAAATACAGTCTCTTTGGTCGACAGTGACTAACCGAACTGTTTCAATAGTGAAGAATTTTGAATTGTCATCTAGCTTGATCTTGAGGGAATGAGAGCTACTTACAAGGTTTCATGCCTAAGTATAAGGAGTTAGGTGGAAACTTGTCCCCTCAAGTACTTTTTTGGTGTCTGGTGAAACACTTTAATTTTTCTCTGCCTTAAATGTTTTGGGTTTTTTTACCATACTTGGATCTATATTATCTCTCTGAAATTTCTTACTGCTAGCTATAGCCATATCTTTTATATCTAAATCCCACTCAACTTATTACTTCCCTTGACTTTTATATCTTTAATTCCCTTCTACCCACTAGTAATTTTATTTCATTAATGATTCTAATATGACTAGAATTGTCAAAATCAGAAATTCATATTCCAGCCTTAACAAGTGAGAGCATTTTTTTCTTCAGGTTTTTACATTTTTATTATTACTACTTTTACTGTTTTACTTTAAAAATTTTCTCCCAAATGTAATCTAATTTTCCAAATGATGTTCTGTTGGTTTTTTTTATTTCCTCCATGTAGAAATTCGTATTAATTGTTTACAGCCTACCTAACAGACTTGTTAACTGCATATTGGTTCTCTTGCTTGCATTTTTTTCTTGATCTTCCTGCTTACCCTAAGAAAAGCAAGCATGCCTACAACTTTTCTTATGCAGCAATGATATTACATGATTAGTTCATTACAATTTAATTTATATGAAGTGATGTAGCTACTGAGACACATTGTCCCCAGATACCTTAAAGGTGATTACTCCTTAACAGGTATGACGTAGGCATCGTTCCTTACCTTCATTTAAAAGTACATCTTGCCAAAGTACATCCTACCATCCTGTTTCCTAACTATGAATAAAAGCCATCTATAATCAGTCTGCATTAGAAACACGTAACATTGATTTGAAGATAATGTAGAGAAATAGGCATATCTCTTAGCTACTGAATAACATACAGTGCAATCAGTATTCTTCAAACATGCATTTTTAGTAAGTCCAATCAAATAGACTTACTAAAGTATAATTTTCTTCCAAGCTTCTAACGACACTTTTAGTGATGCAAGTATTAGCTTGAAAGTTAACAATGAAAAGCATATCATTTGCAGTCAATTACAGCATCTGAATTTGAAAGAAATATACTTTGAATAAGTAGTGTGCTAATAACCAGCTATGATTTACAGACTTGTCCTAATTTTTGCTATTGTTGTGCAGATAACATTGAAGTGGCTTATCTAAAGACCCTGACCAAGGATGATATTATACAATTCTACAAGGTAAGTTAGTCATGTAGTTAAAATTTTACTGGGAAAGAGGTGTAGACATAACTAGGTTGTCATTTGTGTGAACTGTGAAAGCATATACTTATGCCTGGTTTAGGTTGATGATATGATTGATGCAGATACCTTAATAATAATTTTTGTTTCCTGAATCTTACTTAGTTTAATGGCAACTAGCTTACTGTAAAAATTGTGGAGAAGGATGTGGTTTTGTTGTGGTGGGGTTTTTTTTTTTTTCCTTACTAGCTCTTACTATCCTCTCGTCTCATTTATCCTTTCTTTATGAATAAAAAAATGTGCTGGTTTATGACCAAGCTTGGCCAAAATTGCAAATTCGTTCCTTTATTTTTTTTTCTTAAACCAGTAAATGATTCAGCTTATTTTGTGTGCATGAATTGTGAATTAAACAGATATTTTTAAAGCTTTGTTCACTGTAAATCAACGCTTTTTTTTCTTCCTGTCATACTTCGGCAGAACAAAGGAGCAGCATAATGATGCAATAATTGTACACTGCAACTTAGCATGAAGTTGCTAGATGGATATCTAATACAAGCAATTGAAATACTGGGGGGCCTCCAAAAAAACCCCCATAAATTGGGTCTCATTCTTTCTGTCTTGTAACAAATTTCATGGGTAATGATAAGTTACTATATTGCGAAGTGACACATTGTTTTGTTACTTACGGAGCAGCTAATAGCTCAGGGAATACTTTGAAAAAATAATGTAGACGTATGTCTCTGGAACTTATTATTGGATGGAAAAAATTCTGCCCATGAAGAAGCATGGGTATGTGTGTGTGCGTGTGTTCTTTTTTTCTGTCTTGCGGGGGCTAATGTCTTTCAAAATGGTTTCTCTTTTGTACTCTGTCTTATCCTTTTTACTATCCAAGGCCACTGCTATATTACCATCTATTTTTATGAGATTTAGTCTTAATCCTTAAAACTGGTTATTTATTATGTGACACAATGAACACTAACACCTTTTGTTGGGGTTTTTTTTTAATAGTAGGATAGCATGGGTGAAGATACACAGCAAATACAAAATTAGTAAATGGAATTTCAGTAGCTGTTTCTTAATAAAAGATAACTTGAACAAGTATCCACATTCTGTTTTTGTAGGAATCTATGCTATTTTGCTTGCACTAATGCTCATTACATGATTATGCGGTATCCAGAGCAGAAATAACTGGCTAGCTGTTGTTAAACTCAGTTAGTATTAAACTAGCCGGTTATTTCTAGTGAGCTAGTCCAGCTGAGTTTAATAATTGTGTTCAGGGTGATGTGCTTCCAGAAGGCTGCTAGGGATTGAAAATTCTGCAGAGATTTTAGGTTGCATTCCTGATACTATGATAGTTAATGGCTGAATTCCCATTCCTTCTAGTTTTTCTGAGTCCCAAACAGTACATGAATTTCTTAACTTGATTGTAAAATAATTCAAACTCCTGTATATATGACTTCTAATAATACTTGAAGGGACATCCCAAAAATCATCCCTCATTTTAAAGCTTAATTTAAAATTTAAATGCTTTTGTTCTTCTCCTGTTTCATAAATATAATGTCTGAGTGATACTTCCCACACCTGAAGGACTTGATGTTTTTTACTGTAGGTGCTGTTGGCAATAGATGCTCCCAGAAGACACAAGGTATCAGTACACGTCCTTGCAAGGGAAATGGATTCCTGTAAGTATTGTGCTGAATTAAGTATTTAATCAATTCCTGTTCAAGTCATAGATAAAGACAGCTGTGTTTATATGATATAAATGCAGTATAAGAAAAACTCATCTCTGGAGATTATATACCTTTCAGAGGAAAAAGTATTTATTTTCATAGGTTTTCTTCATATGGGTGATTCAAAACTTCTGATTGATGTTTGTGACCAATTCTTCAGCTATTCTGAAGTATATTGATATTAAAACAATATATCTTAAAATAGCACTTCTTTTTTCAACAGGAAATTTTAAAACAAACATAAAACTCTGTAATAGTCCTACAGGGAAAAATAAAATTAGGATTTGCAGTTATCAATACAATATAGTGGATTTTTTTTCCTGACAAGTAATGAATGTCCACAATTTTATTCCAAGCACTCTCAAAGGAAAACAAACAAACAAAAAACAACCCCCTGGGAATGTCAAACATTATATTTAAACTTCAGAAAGTCAAAGTTTATTTAGGTTTATTTTCAAATTATCTAGATTAGCTGTGCATTGTAAACTGTGTTGTTCCATTTTAGAATTCAAGAAGGAAGAGGCTAAAAGTGTTTCTTGTTAATATAAATAAACAGAGGAAAAGCTTCTATATTGTTGTGTGCAGATTTTTCACCAATTTATACTGGACTTAAATTCCAATGTGTAACTGGTTGCAAAATCAATAATATTAAAGGTTTATCAGTAAACCAGAAAGAAGCAGATAGCTGTGTGCCTGTCATGAAAACTCCTTCCAGTCTCGGTGTGATTGATTATTATGGTACCGTGGAAATTGTAACTTTGCAGCTGAGTAAGGAAGGCTTGCTTCAAAGCATCTTTCTGGTTTTCATGACTAAACATTGCTAAATACAAATAGCTCTAATACTTTTCCTGTCTAGAGCAAATTTTCTAAAGTGTAGTAACTACATTGCCAGAATGGTTTATTACTTGCTTGGAATGGTATCTTCCCAAGACAAGGGTGAGCAGGGGAGGCAACCTAACAAGTGGTTACTCTTACAGAGATTATATCAAGATATTCTCTCCACATACTCCCCGGTCTTAAACCATTTGATCTAGCATGTGGCCTCTCTTCTGCTTTGAAAGAGAAATCAGGACTTTAATGCATCTCCTGTGAGTCCAAATGAGCATTCTTCCAAGTGCAGGTGCCCATCCGCTAGAGAGTAACACAAAGGAGAAAGGCTAAAAAGCTTCCCAAACAGAACCCTTCCTCCTAGCGGCAGACACACAATTTTCTCTGAGTATGGAAAAAATCAAAAGTAGTAGAGTAGAGATCTGGTGTTTTAGGAGGCAGAAGCACTTGAACTCCCAGGGTGAACAGTAGGTTTGAAATTTGAGTGTGGAAGTAGGAGGGAGGCTTAAGGAATTTAAGACTAGAAGTTCTTATGGACAAGTAAATTGGAGGCAGGAAGAAGTTTTGCGCAGACTGGAGTAGGGCATGCGTGGGGACAGGCGGGGAAGAATTTGGGGTTGCTATCCAGAATTTTGGTACATGGAGTAACCCCCAGATGTCCATAGGTGTGTCCTTACTAAAAGATGTGCTGTTGTTGCATTGCTTTTGTTCCATACACCACCACCATTTACTACTGTTCTCATAATTTGTACTGAAAAACAGTTTTAAATATTCATTGATCAGTAGATTAGCAATTTTTATTTTTGCATTATCTTTACGAAAAACCACACCCTTGGCACATGCTCTCAAGTCAAATCATGGATTAAGCTCTTTTTATTTCTGAAGACAGCCATGGAGTATAAAAGAAAAAGGTTCAGAAAATCTTAGATACTTGAAAATTAATAACCTGTGCTTTATATAGATACTTGCCTTAGAAAACAGTTTATTATGTAAAAGGTACGATTAAATTATGGTCCTGAATTAATTTTGATGATGTTAAATAGGCCCTGTTGTTGGAGAATTTCCATGCCAAAATGATGTGAATCTGGCACCAGCTCCACCGCTACCACAGGTAAAAACAAACAATACAGAAAAAATCCCAGGCTGTATTCTTAATGTGGAAGTTTAGTATTATTAAATACAAGTTTATAGGGAGAAACAAACTTCTTGAAACTTGTGCTGTTGTGGGACTGATGTTTCAGCTTCAGCTCTTTTCCACATGCATTATCATCCTCAATAACTAACAGGAATTTTTCATTAATTTTTTTTTGTTTTCCTTCTTTTTAACAGTCTGTCCTGTTACCTCTGTTCCTTCTATTCCGTTGAAATGAAAGCTAATAGCAGTAGTTAACTCTACTGAGTATCGAGTAAATACAGATTATTATTGTCTGAAAATACTGATTGTATATGATCAGATGTATCAAGTGTCAAGAGAAAGATGCAGCTGCATCAACAAATTTATCATCTTTGTTTAAAAAAAAAAAACAAACACAAAAAAACCCCAATAAATAAACAACCCAAACCACCACCACCAAAACCAACTATCTGGTCATTATCTTAAAGCCTAAAATATTAATGCACATTCCTGTCAATGTGTAACCTGGGGAGGAAGCAATTGGACAAATTCTATTTGTACAAGTATTACAGATTTCACTGTGTGGGTAGATACGATAGCACTGAGCCCTTACTGGACCTTAAATGAATTTTCTTGAAGAAGGATGGTAATGTCTGTCCCAATACATAATTAAATTTTGCAATGTCGTAGTAGATCTGTGTTGTTTCACCTTACAGGTGAAATAATCACCATGGGTGGAAGTTTCTGTATGAATTATATGTGGATATATTAGCCGTTATGACTGAAATATTAAAAAGTTACTCTGTTATTGCAACTAAAAGTAATAGCTCATTGATTTGCTATTGTTTTTATGATCTTACCCCAATATTCAAAGGATAGGTGGGATGTCCTGAAGTAGAATTTCTACATGAAAGGACAAGCTCTGCATGTTCCCGCCATTATTAGTAATGCAATTACTGCATTATAGCTGTTGTTTTGAATTATCTAGAGTAAATATGAAACTATTTGCTTAAGAAATAACACTGTATTTTGAGGGATCTTGTAATAATGAAGTGTGAGTCACTAATATTGTGGGAAAGAGCAAGAAAGATGTATTTAGATGTAGCTGTAGCAAAAGTTAAAAATGAAAAGCGAGGAATTTTTCACTTTTCTGATGAAAGATATTGAGCAGACTTTTTCTTGCGTACGCTTCTTTGCAGCCAAGTGTGATTGAAAATATGACAGAATTCAAGCGCAGTCTGCCACTC